TGTGTATTATACTACACACAGACGCATGGAGGTTCAAATTCACGAACAAACAGACAATTGACACTTACCATGGCCATCTTGGAAAGAGGTTCCCTTCCCATGGTCGAGAATGTATAATACACCAGAGCCTGATTCAACACAAGGACAAGTGCAACGTGGGAAAAGACGACCAAGACAAAAGACAAGCAGAGAGTATCAAGAGTTGGTCTGAGGCTTGGTTGATAGCAGAAGTGTGAATAGCAGTGCGGACGGAGATCCGAGCATGAACCCGCATACACGTGTGTCAAGACCATTAGCAAGGACACACCGGTGTACTTCAGAGAGACAATACAAACAAAAATACAAAACATCATTTGTAACACAAGACAGTCACCTCACAGCACATGCAGTCACTTCACAACAAGAAAAGCAAACAGAAATGTACAACAAGGCAGGCACAGGGAGGCTGTTGCAATGTTCCGTCTTACCCTGGACTGACTGGCGTTGACATGCAGACCGAAGGCATACATGATTCCCAGGTACTGGCAACGTGGAAAGGCAAAAGCAGAGGCACGAAAAGAACAAAACGTTTAGATGCGGCAGCACTCAGTCTGGAGAGCTAGCTAGCTGTCATAAGGTTTCACTGGCATAGCGGAGGGCAACCTGCCCCATGGACACCCGAAGGCTGCGGAGAATCGGGGATGACTTGAACAGTGTCACTTCAACGAAAGACATTTCGCCATACCACTATATTACCATTAATTATGGTACATTGTAAAGGAAGCAGAGAGTAGCAACCTACAAAGTGTGCCTTGGATGAGCCATGGTCCTTAGCCAGTGCTGATAGCATGTCATATGCCTTGGACCAGTCCCGGACCAGGTGATCACCAAGCTGCAAATCGGATGAACAAGACAGACAGCACAAGTCGGGAAGAGGAAACAAGCCAGTACGCAATATCACTAGAAACAATGCAGATCCGGACAAAAACAGCTCTCTTGGGCTTCAGGAGCAGCCCGGCTTCTCAAAGACTTCGCTTTACAAAAGATACCTAGTAGTACAGGTTCACAAAAAAGTCTAAAAGAAGATAGAGAGACAATCAGGCATGACTAATGCTCCACTACACAACAATCACAAGTCAATTTGTGAAACAAGTTTGGTACAAAAGTGACACCAAAGTACTAAGGCATCATTCAACTGCCTAGCACATCCTGAATGTGCAAGCCGACAGCCTTCCAACCTAGAAGGCTTGCCATTTATTGAAAACCGGGAAGCTCCTGTGGAGTTCCAATCTACTCGCAAACGTTTCCAGGTTAACAATATTAGGAATACGAGCAAACGCCTGACTATGTGGCCTTACCAAGTGAGCTATGGCCACATACTCTCGTGCCTTGATATTACCCATGTCGGCCGCTTCGACAAACTTTTCATACGCTCTGGAAACACAAGGAAAGAGAACATGAGAACATGAGAACATGCACACACACACACACACACACACACACACACACACACACACACACACACACACACACGGTGCACACACACACACACACACACACACACACACACACACACACACACACACCATTGGACCATTGGACGCCCATCGCCGGAGGCGATGATAGCGATGCTACAGCAGAAGCCATAGCAACTTGTGCTGGGATTGCACCATTCAACAGCTTGCAAGGCTGAAGAATTGGCCGCCACTATTCAGCCTGGTCTACACCACACAGCTATGAAGTGGCTTATTCTGGCCAGTGAATCCCTACTTTTTGGTCTTTTTTAAATTTATTTTCCCGCACACACATCACACCACATACTCCGCCACACACACACACACACACACACACGCACGTGCAACAGGACCTAAATGCACACGGGTCTTACTAATCCTAACTAGCCCCCAGACATGCCTGGCCAAGCAATGATGTCATCTGTAACTGCTGTATACATGTGTGTGTGTACTCAACTACTGAAGTAGCACAAGCAACACGTTCATACTTCAAACTTGTATGCCCAGCTATGACATGCCTCCCTCCCCCCCCCCCCCCCCCACACACACACACTCTGTGCTAAGGGAGAACGTGTAGCCACTGTGAGTGCCAAATGCAGCGCTAATTTTGTCCATGCACGTTCACGATGGTCAAGACTTGAGAGCCCATGGAAACAAACAGGGAGCTACATCTGTGTACGTGCAGACAGTGCACTATGGACGTATGCACATGCACAAACCTGGCATGTGATGGATTGCTGCCATTGACTAGTGCTTCACCAGCTTCAAATACCTCTGCAGCTGGATCAAAAAAAGGAAAACAAAACATGCCACATGTCCACAGACCATTAGATAGAGTATGTAAAACCTACAATTTGATTTCATTGTGCGCAGTAGACAGCGACGCACCATGCAGAAAGTAGATTAGACAACCCCCCCCCCCCCCTCTCTCTCTGTCTCTCTCTCTGTCTCTTTCACTTTCTCTCTCTGTCTGTCTCTCTGTCTGTCTGCCTGTCTGTCTGCCTGTCTGTCTGTCTGTCTGTCTGTCTGTCTGTCTGTCTGTCTGTCTGTCTGTCTCTCTCTCTCTCTCCATCTCCTGTTCCTATGGTAGTATAGTGAACAGACCTTGATCACCAAAATGCTACATCAGCGACACCATTGGATAGACAGTCACTAGCTAGTAGCTACACCTAGTCATGAGTTTACACTTACCTGCTTCTGGCACTTCGGGCGGAGCAGTTGACTCAGGCCATACTTCAGGCACGGCATCAGCCTGTTTTCTACTCGAGGTGGCGGCATCAGCAGTCTCCTGCTCCGGCTCTGAATAGGTGTCTGGAGACAGTAAATCATCTGAAGTGGAATACGGTGATGTGTCACCGCTGCCAGGCAGTGTGTGCTCCGCTCTATCCACTGGTTCATTTTCAAACTGACTTCCAGCAGTAGAGCTGGTCTCCTGGTACTGCTCGTCTTGAGCGTCTTGTTGTGCCTGCAGGTATTCCTGCTTGCTGCTCTGCTCGGCCAAGCGAGCCTTCTCGTCTACCTGCTCCTGAGGACGTGCGTTCTCTTCTAGCAGCCTCTCCTCTCGTTGCTCATCCTGTTTCTGTTGCAACATGAGGCGCTCCTTCTCTAATTGTTTCTGTTTCTGGGCCTCCTTGAGACGCGCATTTTCTTCACTGAGTTGCTGCTTCTGTCGTTGTGCTTGTTGCCGCCTCAAGGTTTCGAGACTTTGCTGCTGCTCCTCTTGCTTCTGTCTCTGTTCCTCCTGGAGTTGTCGTTTAGTGTCCTCTGCCTCTTTCACCTGCCTTCTTTCCTCTTCCCGCTGCTCTTCAGCTTGCCTTTGCATTCCTTCTAGCACTAGCTGTTCAACTACTTCGTCAGTCGTGTCGCTTTGTGCAGAGGTGGATGTGTCCTCGACTGGCTCCTCGGCGGCAGCCAAGTGTTCAGTGGCTTCCGTCTCATCCGGTAATGGCACCTAGATGCACACGCGCATGCATGCACATACACGGGTGTACATACACACACACACACACCACCACCACCACAAACACACACACACCCATACACATAGATACACAACAACAACAACAACAACAACAACAACAACAACAACAACAACAACAACAACAACAACAACAACAACAACAACAACAACAACAACAACAACAACAACAACAACAACAACAACAACAACAAGAGCAGCAGCAGCAGCAGCAACACCCAGACATGCATCAATTTGCTAAGGACTGATCTAATCATTCCAGAATAGTAGCCTACTGACGATAGGCACACTGAAAATGCACACCACCAGACACAGCCGCTCACTGGCCAGTGGCTACTACTACCATGTACCATTTACCATGTACAGTCTGTATCGGCTATAGAGTGACCGGATATAAGAATATATCGGCTACAGTGATATTGGTACGAAATATCAAAAGCAAAACGTATTTTATCCAGTACAAATATCACTATAACCAATATTATCGGATGTATTGATATATCGGATATTATGATGGCAACAAAGAATCAAAACATGCATAACACACTGCATTATTATCGGCTATAGTGATAACTTTAAAATACATGTTAATATCAAAGGCCCTATTTTTTTTACTTTCTTCACGTTCTTCACGTTGCTTATTTTGATAGTGACACATGTACATGTACATAACAGAATTTTTTATGGAAATGCGGGCACTGTCAACTATGCAGCATGCTCATTTGTCAAAACGCCATGCTGGAAGTATTTCCCTGCCTTTCATGTGTCGATCGAAAAAAATCGATCGTATCTCATATAGTGATGCATCGGTTATAGTGATAAAATCACGGAAATCAAAAGGGTACGCTATAGCCGATACAGACTGTACCATGTATACGCCCGTCGCAAGAGAAGCACGCAAATCTGCAAATGCACTGGATGTTCATCCACAGATTTTCTGTTATAGCAACGATAGCGAACAAGATCTGAATACTACTACAGTCAAATCTGTCGTAAGCGACCGCCCCTTGGTGCAAGAAAAAGCGGTCTCTTACGGCAGATGGTCTCTTACGGGAGATGTATGGTAAATCCGGCATACCGGGCATGCATATAATTATGCTTCCATGTACTCAAATCGACGAGAATAATGTGATTTTTGATATCATTTTATTGGATATTCAATAGAATATAGGGGCGCACTTGCAAGACAGCGCATTTTCACACCTTGCAGTTGACAGCACACTGCCAAGTACAGTTTCGCACCTGACTGAACGTGGGTCGCGGTCGCTTACAGCAGATTTGAATGCAGCCACCGTGCATGAAATCGCGGTCGCTGGTCGCGCACAGCAGATGGTCGCTCTGGACAGATCAATTTGTATGTGAAACCGTCGGTGCACGGAAAATCGGTCGCTAACGGTAGATGGTCGCCTACAGCAGAGGTCGCTAACGGCAGATTTGACTGTAGTACTAGTGGGACTGGCATCAGTTATGCCAAATACAGTACACTGTACATGTATCACATTGGGTCATATCATCCCGTACTAGAAACTGCTACTTCATGTTTAATATGTATACCGTAGAATCCCGCGGATAAGCCCATGGGGCTTATCTGTTTCACAAGGACATTTCGGTAGGCTTATACAAGAACGTGGGCTTATACGCGGGCATGGGCTTATACACCGAAGCCAAATTGTGCTATTGAAAAAGTACCAAGGAAGTGAGAAGTACATTGCTGAAAACCACTGTGCAAACAAAAACAACCGATGATTGTGTTGAAATGTACAAAAAAACCTACATGTACTACGTGCATGATACGATCTAGCTTGCTCGGCCCATGGGCTTGTACAACGAAGCCTCGCGATGTTCGAACTTGGCCTGGGCTTATGCGCAAGCATGGGCTTATCTGCGGGATTCTGCGGCATCTTCACTACTAGTTGACTGTATTGTCATGCTGCAACCCTCGGCATATGAACAACAGTTGTTATCATGCGTTGTGTGCATGTCCAGCTCGCCCTACCTGATTAGAGCCACTGCTACTGGCGATGATACCTACAGTACATATACCAATACACACGTACACACACGTATACAAACACACACGTACACACACGCACACATACGCGCTCGAGCGGAAGCACAACAAAGGCAGTAATCGTGAGGATTGGCAATTTGTAAACAGTGTAACAGGGGATGAACTCGTACAACAATCATGACAATCCCCCGTCATCATAGCTGGACTTGGGATGAGAACATTCAGTTTGATGAGTTGCTACACCTCTCTAATCACTGCCATCAAGAGTACAGAACTCCCCGGTGTGTGTAGCTGTCAACGGGTACCTCTCGTGGCTCACTTTTAGCTTCACGTAATTTTTCATGATAACCAACTGCAAGTATGCATTCGGGACGGGAGGTTGACCGCATGCGCAAGCAGCGCAGTTTAGTGTGCAGTCCGGTGCAATATACAGTATCACAACCATGAAGCTATTCAGAAGCGAGTCGTGGCGGAAGTTAATTAACGAGGCGTTGCACACTCTGGGAAGTTATGCACTCCTGCTATCATTTAAAATTTTAAACGAATCTTGTGAATAAAATAAAGGGTAAGCAGCAACATTATGCATTTGACCCTGTACATCATGAACCACCATACAATAACTGCGCTCTCCAGCCAACCTCTTGGCAACGTATCGAGGTCGGCTGGAGAGCGCAGTTTTTTTGTGTGGTGGTTAACGATGACTCTTGTGAGCTTATTTTGTTGTGGTTGCGAGAAAAACAAACACTGGCACGCCCATGACACACACACATACACACACGGACGGGCACACACACACACACACACACACACACACACACACACACACGGATACAAACACGCACACTTGCATATCAATGAAGCGCTGTCACCATAGTACAATGTACCTTATACTTTATGAGCACAAAAAGCAGTCAGCACGAAAACCCGTGCCACACCCTGGTCGTTTCCCGTTGAACACATTGTGAACTAGTGGGTTGCCTAGAATGAGACTTGGGTGGTAATGAGTATGTTTTCAAACTCACCAAGAAGTAAAATGAGTCCGCAATACGGAAGGCACCGACGTGCCATTGCTCCTATTTCTCTCCAGGCGACAACCAGACTAACTGAATGCGTCTAGCTTCTACTTAGACTGCCTTGCACTGTATTTGAGATTAGTTTATGTACCTTAGCTCAAAAACAAATTCAACATACTACAATGTAGAAATTTTCAATAAATTTTGACGACTGTCGTTGTCCTTTACTTCATCAAACACACGTCACTTCAAACTCAAATCATGATGAACATGAACCACTGTGAACAGGCTGCACATGAGAATTCACAGATTCTTTGTACAACACTGCACTCGACGTAGATCTACTCAGCAGAGTCAGCAGGCTGGGCAGCCGGACGTAGATCTACGGCCGGGTCGAGTGGGGGAAGCTACAAGGACGCCATATTTCGGTGTCACGGCAACCGCCGTTACTTTTAGCCGGGCCCAGACTCGTACTACTACTACTACTAGACCAGGCCAGGTAACTAAAATTAATTTTACTTAGCGCGCTAGATCTACGAGTCGATCGTACCGTCGCGGCGTCGGTATTTCGGATTATTTCTCGTACTTCCGTTCCTGCTGCTGGTTTGGCGGAACATGTGTGAAGAATGTACTCCCTGGACCCTGGTACAACTAAGTACTTGTCAAGTACTCATTTACTATACAGTATTATCAAGACTGACAAGAGTATATAACCCCCCCCCCCCATTTGGTTATAATTATACTCTTGGTATTAATATAGCAATAAAAACTGCTTTATGGCAGCTTTCTAAAAAAGTTATTGTAGTCTAGTCCTGGGTCCTTTCCCTATAGAAAATTTATAAAATTGTTTTCCAAACCGTCATGGACGTCGATCCCGTCTAAAAAGTAAGAACGAAATGTGATAGCCGAAAAATAAAATTTTACACAAAACCTCACTCTTGATACTACCAAGAGCCAATACCCCCCAGGGTGGGGTGGAAGGGTACCGCAAGGGTGAGTAAATAAACTCCCGGGCCAGGGAAGTGATACATGATTACAATGTACAAAAAGTACAGTGTCAGTGATCGAGCTCTTGGAATACTCATGATGGTGTATGACCACACAAAGCCCTTGTGCCAGTTTTGGTCCCCCCCCCCCCCCCTCTCCGACTCTCTCGCCATCTCTTTATCTCTACGAGGCGTTTTCAGGAGGACAGATAGTCAGATATTGGGAGATACTGTAGTCACTTGGACAGTAGTCTACCGTACACGGTGCAGTCACGGTAGGTATCCAACTGCCGATGGAGTGCTTGTCATATTGGTACACTCGTTGGCTGTCAGAAAATGCAAAACAAAAAGTTATAGGCCATTCACATGACGTGCAAACACTTGCACGTGTGTGACCAAGATAACACCGGCAAGCCGTGACAAAGTTCACACGGTGCTGGGCAAACTTTGCATGCGTCAATGTATCCTGAGTGGCCTCCTGAAAATGCCAGGAAATTAAAAAAAATTCCTTTGTTCAAGCACTGCATTTGCAGTACGCATTTTCAACAACCGACACTTTTGTTGGCGTGCAAAGTATAATCGTGAGCACAAAGGCCCTGGCCAAGTTCAAAAATCAGTTGCACGTGTGTGTCCAAGTGTATCGTACGCGAGTAAATATCCTTGGAAACGGTACGATAAAAGTGAGTTTGCACGTCTTGGGAATGGCCTATTGCACAGGAACCGATAGACACAACTGAAACACGAGGTTGTGTGTGAAACGCCTGCCCAAGAAGAGCGGCAAGAGCTTGTCTGCGTACATCACACCTACATCTGCAGCTTATGTAGTAACAGTGTGACAGACAGCCGCGCATGCATGCATGCCCATACACGGCTACACAGAGGCAGTCACACACGTACACATACCCAGGCACACAGACGCACCACACGCACACATACACGCAACATTACTTTGTTACTGCGCACATCCGAGTCTACACCAATAGTTAAGCACAAAGCGCAAAAAAGAAGAGAAGAGAATCCAGGACTTGATGATGAAACAACAAAACCAAAGCGCACCTTAACTCAACAGTACCTGGAAACAGTACCTGAAGAGAACCGAGCTGAAGTTGTGTATGATACGAAGGAAGTGTCAGCTCATCAAGGTTTCAACTTGAGCAGGACTTAGAAAGCCAGCCAATGCGCAATAAAGTCAGAGCGGGTACATGGAACACAGCTGTTGCATGCAGTGGCCGTTGGAAGTCTCCTCAAAACAAACGGAAGAGCCGTCTTCCTGGCTGCCTAGTTTCATGAATAGCCTCACGTTGCGAAGACCGGAACTGATAAAAATAGATTTCATGTTAGTTAAAATGATTTCTAGAGGACTGTTATGAAATCTTAGCCTTGGAGAAGTCCATTTCAGGATGCTGCTGCATAAATCTGAACAAAAGAGAAAGAAACAGTTGAGAAATAGACAGTCAACATGAAGCTACATAATCTGTTGTATCAGTCCGGCATGTCAAGTGTAAAGCATAGGACAGTTTACTGTTTTCAGTTCCAAAGTACTGCAGACCGGGTATATTTCAAACCACAAGGAAACTGCGGGCATTCTGATTTTCTGCATTGCGAGGATGAAGCTGCATGATGCTATCAAGAGTATACAAGCCCCCAACCAAAATACAATTCTCATGGCACGGTCCAGTGTGGGATTTTCAAGCTCTGGGATGGTCATAACCGGGCTCCGGTATAACAGTTACAGCAGCACAGCCAGCATGCTTTCACAGCACACACACATGTAACTTACTGTTGTAGCATGTCTTGTTTCTTCTGCTCATCTGATGTTGGTTTGCCCATCTATAAGTAACAAGTCAGCAGGAACGATAAATCAAGTTTTCAGGTACGCAGCTTACTCTGACACAGTACAAGAGGTGGGCCAAAAGAGATTGAATCAAACTGACAGTAACAATAGCTACAGTCAACTTCGTTTATAACGACAATCGGCGGGGCATCAGAAAAGTGTCCTTATTCGCGAAGTGTCGTTATACCCGAAGTCTCATTAGATATTACAGTTGGATGGGACTTTGCTCTGGGCATGGGAATTCTGTCGTTGTTCGCGAATTGTCGTTATATCCGCAGTCGCTATTAGCGAAGTTGACTGTACATGTACATGCACACAAGTTTCCAGGAGAACAAAACATATCTTGAGGAGCAAACCACTGCCATTCCAATCCATCATATCACCAGCATTCTGATAAGTCACTGCACCACAGAACGCTATCCGTCTTTGCACTAACCTGTTTCTGTCTCTGGTCGTACATCATCTTTTCAACCATACCGCGAGTTTCCCCGTCAAGATCTGACAGCTGTGGCCACAACACACGTGTTCCCACACACACACACACACGCGCACACACACACAACAAAGAGAGGACAAAACAATGAAACAGGGAGAACTATGCTGGGTGGTTCATTGACTAGACATGTATTGTATATGAAGAGGCAAGGCTACAAGCGATGCAACAGTACCGCAGTCACCTCATTGGAGGCGGGGCGGCTGAAATCTGAAATTAGATGACCCGAGAAGCATTCGGTATAGTACAAGAAGGAGGTGATGTAGGCACTAGTAGGTGGATACAATGCTGTAGCAAACAAGAGAGCAAACACACACACAACTCCACAAACCTTGGAATTCTCTGGCTGAACCTTCTTGGTGTTCACTTGAGGGTCGCTAGTCACGACTTGACTCCACCACTCCATTTTGTTCACCTAGAATGTACAGCAGCCCACAAGCAAACAGCACCTCATTAACGCTTATGCTAGCAAGTTTATGTTAAGACGGGCATAGACCACTGAAAACCATACTACAAGTGTACGCAATGATTATGTACAGCGGTTCCAACTCATTGTTCGGCATGCAACGGTGCCTTACCTTTTCAAGAGAAATGACCAAGTGTGAACCGTCTTCTATATTCCAAAAGCAGTCTGCAACTTGAATCTAAATACAAGAAACAAAAAGGCAAACAAAAAGAGGGCTAGTCAGAGGAGATCGAGAACATTGAGAGCAGCTGATCGAATCATTGACAGACTCAACAAACACGTACCCATGCAGCAGAGTCACTGCAAAGCTGTACAAGAGCAGCCCTTACCAAATGACTAAGCTCGGAATCAATGATAGGCTCCTTGCCCTTGAGTCCAGCCTTTAGTGCCTTCTTCTTGAATGAAACATCAACATGTTTGCCTCGAACATTGAAGTCAGCCTTCAATGGAATGCGAATCTCAACATCGCCAAGTGTCTATGATGGAAGAGAGCACAAGAGTAAGCCAATACGCATTGAAGCAAGAGAGGGAAAAATGCCAAACAAGAAACCAGCTGCCACTTCTGAATTGACTAGGCCACATGCGCGGGAAGCAGTAGGTCACAGCGCTCAGTATAGCACGGCCCTACAAGTACATCATAATTATACACAAGCAGTAGCATCCTAAAGAAACACTTGCACTCTGACATGTGTATAGCAGTCCATACAAAGTCGTGTTTAAGCGCAGCAAGTTCCAACACAGTACCAGTAGTGAAAGCATTGCCTGGCATGATACCATGGACAGGGTTACAATAGAAACTGGTAACATAAGGTGAATCAAACAACCTCACAGATGTGCATCAAAAAACACGGCAACCCATAAGATATCAGGCCTGTCATGCATGCTAGCACAAACTTGTTGTACCTGAGTCCAACTGTAGTGCTCAAGGTCAGCACCATTGCCTGCGTTCGGCTTCACTTTCGTGGGGTCATCCTCCTCTTCTTGGTCGTTATCCTCAGCATCACCTGCTGGAGCTGCCGTCGCTGCTGCTGTCGCAGGACCAGCGCTATCTCCATTTGATGTGGCCTCACTGGGTACCTTTCAAAAGCAAAGGCAACAATAAAGCACATATACGGCATTTGCAGTAGCTATGGTACAGGAAATGGCAACAGACAACTTCTCCACCCAGGATTGCAAAACAACCAGTCATTTACGCACGTCAAGGTTACACATAACAAACACGTGCACCATAGACCAGTCTTTAACCCTTTACCGTTTGTACGTACAAATTTCGACCGCTCGCGGTCGATGACTTCTATGCGCACAGCGCTGGACTGGTTCACCGCAGAGAGCTGGGATTTTCCCTACTGGTAGCCAAGATGTACGCGCAGAGGGTGCGGACAATTTTTTTGTGTGATGCAATACAAAAAATCGCGAAAATCGCGACTTGAAAAATGCGCTTTGGGAAAAGTGCGTACCCTGCGACTTTTGGTATTGCCTGCAGATTATTTCGACTTTTGCTTGAGCTGGCCTCACGACTGTCTGCCCTGCTGTGCAAGCCATGGACGCGGAGCAAGCTCTTTCGCTTTTGGAGACCCTTCCTGACGACTCTGTCGCTGCCTCATCCAGCGAAGATGAGTTTGTGGAGCCAGACAATCCTGTTGAAAATATTTATTCTGACGACGACCGCGACGATGACATGGCGAGTGAAAGCAGCGCCAGTGAGAGTGACATGGATGTCACAGACGATGACAGTGTCGCTGAGATGAGTGCCACTAATGGTGGAAGGGGACGTGGCAGAGAGAGAGGATTCGGCCGTGGAATAGGCCATCGTCACGGTAGAGGTCGTGGTGCACAGGTACTATGTACAGCCAGCGGTGCAACCTGCACTAGTCGATATTTGCAATACTTGGGACAATGCTGACACCGATGTGACTGGTAACACTCCTACATTCCACCCAGAGAACGAACCTGGTATCCACTTACCTGAGGGAGCCACTCCAGTGCAAGGATCTGATTTATTGCATATTGCAACAGTTTGCCCGATCGGGATAAATCCAAATAATTATTAGTGCTAAATAGTGAAATCTGTGTTCGTTTTCTGGACTTGAAAGTTGTTGCATCGCATTCCTGAGGGTTTTTACTTTCAGAATCACCCCATTTTGTACATAATAAAAGTGAAAAATAAAAAAGTTACGGCATGAACAATGACGGTCGGTTTATGCTGTACAAATACCTAAAACGGTAAAGGGTTAACAGGGCTGTAACTTGTATGACTGCTGGCTACTGCGGGTGATAAGAAAACTACAATGTAAGCTATTATCTGCCCCGTCCAGCCTTACATTGAAAGGTACGGACTGTCCAGAATCTCAATTACAGTACACGCTTCAATACTTCGAGATATTAGTTCGGCATGGTTGATTGAGTACTGAGTGTGTATCATGGTGCTGTAAACCCATGGCTGGTTAGCTAATACTAGTAGTGCTAAACAACTTCCAGTGCACTCAAGTAGCAAGTTGTAACAATTGTATGAAGCAAGCACAAGTCAATAAGTTCAAACAGACAAACCCAAAAGGTGGCCAAAGATTCAGCCTGGATCTAGAACTACATTGTAGATTTCCTGAAAGTGAAAGAAAAGAAAGAGGGTACACTAATCAACTCACATCAGATGAAGTGGACTTTGTCGTGGACCCATGGGAGCTGACGACGGGAACATCGCTTGGCTGTATCAACAAGCAGAAATAATCGTTGCACACAAGTTAGACGAGGGCGAGTCACGATGGCACAGTGTTGTCCTGACACTCAGGCCAGTATTCTCGTTGTCACCAGTGAATCTTCTCCATGACATGTAGAAGATTCATTGTATGCTTGTACACGGACTGCCCATACGTGAATGTATGTACTGTTGTGGACATTGAAATACAAGGCTTACCAACTCGCCATCTGCAAGCTCGACGATTTTGGATTTCTGTGCAGGAGGGCTCTCCGTGCGCTTCTGAAAAGCAGATCAAAGCAAAGGTGAAAGAAACGTGTCTGATAACTTGTGTGATAAGGCTGCAACTGTACAGCAAGGAGCAAGCTAGCCGCAGTAAAACACACACACACACAAAAGCGACCGCTGCAAATAAAGAGACTGCATGTACTGACCCTGTCCAGGTAAGCATGGACCCTTGTTTCACCACATTAATGCAACAGACTACTAGTACATCACCCACTCCCAGGTTACCTTCTTTGCAGCTGCAGCAGCCTCAGCAGCAGCGTCCTCCTTCGCTTTCTCCTATATGGATATTGCACAATTAGCACAAGAAAAACAGTACAAGTTCGCAAACATATTCAGTGTATATTTTATTATTTATTTAAACTCGGACATTGAGCCAATATTAGGCCATAATTTTTTATATCTATTTTTCGCGTTGTCCGCACGCATACGTTTTGATTTTTTTCTGAAAAAAATAAAAAAATCGAACATGCACAGTGAGTGTACGATCGTGCGAGTCATCAGTGTGGACTGGTTGCATACGGCGAAGCTGGGATTCAGATTTGGCCTCGAGGCCAGCGTTGATAGATCGTTTGTTCTGCATCTGCGAGCAGAATTCTTTGAGCTTACACCAGACCGCATCGATCGCCTCAAGCTGAGAGGATGCGTCGTTTCGGAGCTCTTTGCACCGCTGCTGAAGGCTGAGTACAATAATCCAGCGAAGAATGGGCACCAACGGTTGCCTCCTCTGTCCAAAGTGAATATTTCCTCTTGCTGATAACCCAGATTTGTGCTTCGATGTACGATTTTTCTTTCGAATGTACACCATGCACGAGCCATTGACAATAGTCAATAGGCTATGTAGTATGTACAGTGCTATACACCTCTGATAATCCTTTTTTTATTTTTTTATTTTGCAACTTTTTATTTCTTTCCACCTCTCGCATATGATTCTGGAAGTTGAACTGACGCGAAACATACATATAAAAAATGATGGCCTTATAAGTAAAGAGAAAGGACCAATTGGTGGACTGTTAGTCATAACTCGTAACTTATTGGTCCTTTCTCTTTATTTATTATTTATTTTTTCACAGTCACATGGCTCCAGCCAATGAAAAAGTGATGTGGGTGCTAGCCAGCCATGGGGATAATAGAGGGGGTACATGTAGTTGAGCCTGCAGTATGTTTTGTACATGTAGTTGAACCTTGAGCATGTTTAATTATTGTACCTGTAGTAAAAGTAGCAGTGCTTTCTTTTCACTTCAGGTCTCCAAACGTCAAGTTCCGAAGACTCAACAAAGTACGACTCCGAAGGAACACAGCTCGACTGATTGAATACCACAATGCACTCACCTCCAAGGCATGTTTCTGGTGCACACTGAAGCTTTCCATTACAACCTAGAACAAACAGAAGCACACAGTGATATTGACAGGGTTGATTAGTACAATTCTCTTATAATTAAAAACTGACCTCACACAATTCAAGCAAACTCACTCATTTATGATTTAATAACTTTCTTGGAGATAGGAAGCTTATCAGGGACAGGAAACACTTCAAATCTAAAGCTATTCACCACCATCAACAAGGACTCCGAAATTCCTGAACCAGTTTTCAGGCATTCTCTTCAAATGAATTACAAGCAACCAGAACCAATGAAAGATAAGGATAAGTAGCATCAGATCACAAGGGTGGTAACCATTACAGCTAGGTGATAAATTTAGCGAAGAATATATGCACAAGGGGAGATATGAAAAAGGGGAAAGAGAGAAAGAGAAGGCGAGAAGTGAGACAAGAGGAACTAAAACACACACTGTGTAAAGACAAGCCCCAAATGGACGCTGCATTAACTAGTGGGGTCAGGGGTGTCAGTAAACAACTTGAGAGATATTACATTTTTATTTTGTTTACACAAAGGTGGCTGGCTGGGTAGTGTAGCTTCTAGCGCTTTCAGATGGGCGAGATCACGAACACGGGCACGTGACAAAATAGAGAAGTGGCTATCAGAATACACACGAGCACAATCAGCATTCGCAATGAGGTGGTTGGCAACAGAACAGCTGGCTCTGTGTTGTCACGTGCCCGTGTTCGTGGTCTCGCCCAGCTGAAAGCGCTAGAAGCTACACTACCCTGCCAGCCACGTTTGTGCAAACTCTGGGCCCATCCATAGAATAGCCCCTTCATTCTCTCCCACCGTCACAACAGAAAGCTGCCCGTGTGCTGACGTGCTACATGCAGACAACAGAATTGGCTGAGCCAAAGCAATACTCGACGCGGCATAGTGCACTGGTTGTCGACCTCTGCAAACTGAATACCAGGTATCTATTAGACCCAAGAGGACACCTACCGTATTCCCTCCCAACTTCCCAAGACGATTTGCAGCAAAAGATTTGAAATCCAGAGACGTCCCATTTATCAAATTTAATCGTCATAATTGTACATGCTCTTAGTCTTACCCTTTCGGAAAAGCTTTTCTCAGCTCCAGTGTAGAAATCTGTCCTCCTTCGCAAGAATCCGAAGAAAGTGTCCAAAAGCTATGCGGTACATTGCGGGAAAGAAAAGAAAATGACTGGATTGCTGTTCTCCTGAAGGACGATTCCTTCTGATATGGACTTGAAGTTACTGGTAACACGTTCCAGCATGAAAAAGGAAAACAATTATTACCTCCTTTATTCCACCAGGGTGCTGCTGTGCCATGTGCATCAGCATCCCGTCAAATTTCTCCTCATTGCTCCCCATCTCTAATTACTCCAACAGCGAGGATAATTTCAAGGGATGAATCAAATCTGCTATATCCAACAACCAGAAGAGAAGTCGATCGATCCAGAGGTTTCGAAGTTCAGAGTCGACCAAAATAAAATTTGCCAAAAGTTATTTCGCAAAATGTGGGATCGATCGGGATGAGTAAAAAAGATGTGCCGAAAGTGCATGACGTCATCTTCAATCATATTAATTTTTGGTGCAATGATTATGTGTGTGTGTACGTGTACGTGTGACGTCGTGTATCTACGTGTACGTACGTCACTACGTGTGTCGTGTGTACACAGCGTCACATGCACAGACTCACACACATGTAGTAGTTGATGAGATACGAGGGAATCGTCTCCCTGCCCTGCATGCGCATATGCATGCAGTCGAATACTACAAGTCCCTGGCCCTGTAGTAGGGATGTCAGCGAACGCACTGCGCAGGCCTCTGCGCATGCATTGCGTCATCGATTTTTTGAACGTGATCGCGGCCGACAGAGAAAACATGGCCGCGGTCTGTTTGCACCGCTGGGAGTCGTAAAATTACTGTTCTTCTGTCCCCGCGACCATTCAAATCATACGCGATACTCGAGGACCCACGTACTCACCACGTTCTCCCCCGTCGATTTCTCTGAAAGTTTGCACATCGTGAAACACCAGTATGAGAGGTGTTCAGGCCAATTTTCAAGGAATTTCCCTGGTTGGATCGTTCCAAAATCGGACTTCCATTTCTCGCTCGCGGCCATTTCTTGCGCGATGGAAGCGCCCTGCCCTGGTGAGTAACCAGCATCGCGCTTGGTAGAGAGTTGCTGCAATCAGCTCCCTGATGTCTTCGCTGCCATTGTCAGAAGCGATGAACCATGAATTTGTTTGAGAGTCTCTGGATGCTACTATTCCTTAGCCTAGTTTTCAGCCATTCCGTGCATCTTCTTCGCACGATTTATTTTGCAAAAAAATGAAAGCGTTCATGAGTTTTCTTGTCGGCCGCGTGTAGATGGGCCAGGCTGACCTGCGCAGATGGGCTGCGCAGTGCGTTCGCTGATATCCCTACCTGTAGCCTGTAGCTAGCTGTGTGTACATAACCTTTTTTTACGAGAGCCCCCCCCCCCCCCCGGGCCCCTACGAAGAGTACATAACTACTACTGTACTAGTACTAACTAGGTTATGACTGTACTCTTGCCCCTACCAAGAGTACATAACCCCCCAGAGTGTGCAACTCCCACATACCCTGCTGTCCCGACAGAATTTCAAGTTGACGTCATTATTTATGACGCAATATTATGCAATGCTCCTTGCACCAGTACAGTGATTTACAACATGTGTACGGGTGTCAACGCATCACACGTTTTTCTTTGCAATAATTTGTACAGGATCGATCGGCTTCGGTCAACCACAGGTTCCGGATTCGTCTGATAATCCGTGTACAGTGCGCATTGCATCATCAAAATGACGTCAACTTGAAATTCTGTCGGGACAGCACCCATAGTGGAGTTGCACACTCTGGGGGGTTATGTACTCTTGCCCC